ATACATTTGCCGCACGAACTGCCGAACTTTTTGACTCAAATGTTCGGTCCAACGTTGGAACGAATGTTCGACGCATCGTGTAGCGCCGGTTTAACTGAGTCTAGTTACGAGGGTAGTTTGATAAGTCAGTGACTTTTTGAATTTCCAGTGCATTAACTTTAAATTCAACACTACTACCGTCAACTGTCGTCTGTTAGTAGACCGCTGTGAGTTTTTTTGCACGCTACGTCATTTAGTGCGTGTTTAACAGTCATCGAAAGGAGAAGACTTGCATTTCGAGTGCTAAACAAGCATTATTTTTTTACGTAAAAAAACATCAGAGGAACGAAGGAAAAGCTAAATACTATCGAGACCCTGCACCATCAATTTCAATGGTTAAGAAGTGGTTTACTGAGTTTGATTGTGTACCAGCACAAATAACGCAGAACGTTCAACTCGTCCAAAATAGGTTGTTACGCCAGAAATGATCGATAAATCCATGGATCCATGGAACGATACTGGACGATCGGAGAATAAAAGTGCGTGAGGTGGCTGAGGCTGTAGTACATCACATGGCTACAGAACGAGTTCTTGCGGCGCTACGTAACCGTTGGAGAAGTGTGGATCCATCACAACACACCAGAAACCAAGGAACAATCAAAACAGTAAGTTTATTCAAGTGAACGTGCACCAAAAGAGGCCAAAATGAGTCTGTCGGCCAACAAGTTGGAAAAGGGTAAAACGGTCACTGGCGAATATCATTCAGAGCTTCTCGGCAGATTCAATGTTGACTTGAAGCTAAAACGGCCGCATTTTGCGAATAAAAAAGTACCGTTTCATCAAGACAATGCACGGGTGCACATGTGTGTAGTCGCCTTGGCCAAAATCCATGAATTGCTACGAACTGCTACCCCATAAAGCATACTCTCCAGATTTAGCTTCCCGTGACCTGTGAAGAAATGGCTGGACGGTAAGAGATTTGCGTCCAATGAAGGGGTTACCATTGAAACACACCGCATATTTTGAGAACCTCGAAAAATTATATCATTTGGAAGGGATAAAAAAATTGAAAAGACGCTGGACTAAGTGTAACTGTCTAAAAGGAGATTATGTTGGGAAATAAAACGTTTTTTGACCGAAAAAACGTATTTCATTCAAAGAGTCACTGACTTATCAAACGACCCTCGTATATTCACGTTGTCACAAGGATGTGCAATTGCGCATATAATGAGACGCAATCCATAATTGGCCATCATATCGTGTTACGTTTCTATATCGACCACTTTGATATCGCAAATGGAGATTAGCGCTATTCTCTTCTAGGGCTGATTCGAGACAAGTAAATACAAGTAGGTATTCGATCATTTTGATTTCGATACCGAGTACTTTGGTAATAGAATCGTTCTTTTGATACAAATACTTGGTAGCGGAAGAAATTACTTCTATCGAATCGAATTGTCAAAAGTCGTATCGAAACGAATTGTCAAACACTATCATCAGTAAAGACTGTCGTCAGTCGCCACTGTTAACTGCACTGAAAATATTAAACATTGACAAACATCATTAAACGTGTGCTACGTCAAAGTGTTAATAGCTTGTGTTTCACTCCTTTCGCTCATCTTTCGCTGATGTTTTGTTTCATCATTTGTTTTGGTTTACAACAGGTATGGGCAACAACCGGACCGGGAGACATTTTTGAAAAAAACCAAAAGATTGATTTGTGCGCTTGGCAGTGCTTATACATGCGAACAGCTCTTTTCATTGATGAAAGTTAATAAATCAACACATCGTACAAGACTGACTGACGATAATTTGAAAAATTCTTTACGTCTTTGCATCAGTGGAATTAATTCAAATATCGATGGATTAGTTTCCCAAATTCAAGCTCAAGTGTCTCATTGATATCGGTGTATTTAACTTTCGTAGTTTGTAACAATTGCAAATTTAACGATTTAATTATAATGTACCATTTTTTAAATGTCATTTTGTTATTTTTATACTTGGTTCACAAAATGTTTTTTTATTTTACCAATGTATTCATATACAGGGTTGCTCATTAGTGCGTCAAAGTGCGATATCTCAGTAAATATGAAGTTTACAAGAAAATTCGTCCAACGAAAGTTTTTCACGTTTAAAAGGTCCACATTCTAAAATTACTTTCCAATATACAGGGTGCATCATAAACGTGTGGTAGTTATCAACTCTGGTTTTTTAAATGAAACCACCCCTTTTTTTTGTTATTTTCAGATTGGCCGTTCAATTTTAATGTATGTTTGTTTCAACCGTTTTACCTGAAAAATTTACGATTTCCGAGTTATTCGTAAAAATGTGAAAGTTTTGACAGCTACTGGGTTCCACAGAAA